TCTTAAAGTTGCTAAGGTTGAGAAACACTGGCCTGCATTGTGCCCCACCCCAGCTGAGATGTCTCTGGTGGAAAAACAGGATATTTCTTAATTCTAGTACTTAATTGGTAAATGGTAAAGCTCTCTGCTTCAGGAGGGTGATCTTGGCACTTTAATTCCATGGTGCCCACTTCCACTACCTTTCTTTAATATCTCAAAGGGCTGTATTGCGTGCATGCTGCTTTTTAAAATATTTTTAATGGTCTTTTACACCATTAAAGGGAAGGTCTCAAGATGGGAATAGGCTGTGTGTTTCGTTTGGGTGCCATCGATCCAATTCTGGCATCTCTAAAAAGGGCTGCGTTAGATCCCAGTTATCATTTCTGGAGAAAGCACAGGCCAGATAGGACAAAATTAGGTGAAGAAATGAGCTGACTATGTCAGCCAGCCTCCTATGTCGCTACTGAATTTCAATCTGTTCTTCATTTAGAACAATGAGGACTGGAACCTTACGGTATCTTGAATGGAAAGGCCACAGCTTGTGCCTGTAGAAAAATCCTTCCATTCACAGCCCACGGCAGGGGTGTGTGTGTCCCATCTGGTAAAAGCAGGGTGAAGCGATTTTAACAATCTTTTAAAGTCTTTTGGAAAAGAAAGAGGAGAGGGGAAACGGGGCTTCTTTCTCACTCGCTAGGCCTTGACTCTCCTCCCTGTTTACGTTTTGCAGAACCCGGGACAAGATCGCCATGGTCAACGGCCTCTCCATGGAGAACGTGTCGTCATCTTTTGCCATCTCCACTTTGAAAACTTGTGGCAAGCTGGCCAACATTGTGAGTGCCGAGGAGGCCGATGGGTTTGAGACGGGGCAGGTTTTCCAGATCCCATTTCCCCCCTATCCTACTCCCTTTCTGATCCATTGAGAAAATCTGCCCCTTCCCACGGGACTGAGGTTCTTTGGTGGATACGTAAACAGGTTCATGGTGAAATGGGGGGCTGCAATTTGACTAAAAGGCTGGCCTGGTAGAACCAGCCAATGCTGCTTCTGCTTTTTTTAAAAGTAATATAGTGATGCCAACGGGCAGACAATGTACAACATTAGAGGAGAAACGTCCAGTTCTGCTTCTTGGCCCGCTTAGCAGGAAATGCCCCTCCGAAAGGCATTGGATGAATTTCTGTGATGTCACGGCATGCTGTTGAACCTTCTAACCGCAGAGTTGCCAACAACCAGTCAGGATACGCTTTTCAGTTCTCTCTCTAGATCAGTGTTTCTCAACCTCAGCACCTTGAAGAAGTGTGGACTTCAACTCCCAGAATTCCCCAGCCAGCATGGGAACATTCATATTATTATCTAAACAAGCCAGGATACTAAACCAACATCAAACTCGACTTCAGCTTCTTGGCTCATTCTGAGAGTAAGTTAACCTCGGCTGATCTTGCAAAGGGCCGGTGTAGTTTGTACTTGGATGGGAGACCACTAGGAAACCCCAGAGAGGTAGATTAGAGCAGGCAATGAAAAAATGGCGGCAGCAGATCACGTCCATACTGTTGCCATGAAAACGTGAAGAACATATCCATGAAGTCACCAGTCCTTGATTTGAAGGAGACTTTATCTTTTTGCTGGCTGGGGAATTCTGGGAGTTGAAGTCCACACTTCTTAAGTAGCTGAGGCTGAAAAACACCGCTCTAGATTACAGTGTGCATGTAAAACCAGCGCCAAGCCCCTGAGCTAGTTTGACTGATCGAATCTCAGTAAATCGAATGAGAACCCCTTTCTTCTTCCTCAGCCTCACTTCAACAAGGAAACTTCTAATTAATCTTAGTTTCCAGTAGAGTTGAAATGGGAAACTATGGTCAGCATCTGAATCAAAAAGAAAAAGTCTCCTTCAAATCAAGGTTTACTTCTGGTGACTTCATGGCCGTGTCGATCAAGTTTTCTTGGCAACTGTATGGAAGTGATCTGTGGCTGACATTTTTTTATTGCCTGCTCTAATCTACCTCTCTGGGGTTTCCTAGTGGTCTCCCATCCAAGTACAAACTACACCGGCCCTTTGCAAGATCAGCCGAGGTTAACTTATTCTCAGAATGAGCCAAGACGTTGAAGTCAAGTTTGATGTTGGTTTAGTATCCTGGCTTGTCCAGATAATAATAGTTTCTAGTTCAGAAAAGTGGAAGCCAAAGTTACGTAAAGATGTCCTGGTTTCTTTACTCATCCTGTAAAGATAGGAGCGACAGATCTAAATGTATCAGCAATAAGATTAGTTTAATAACTTGGTCTAATAAAGTTGAATATGATTTGTGTGCTATGGAATTGCATCAAAATTCAGTTTCAGTAAGTTTATAGCCCTCATTGATTTATTTTCTTTTAATGTTGAGACAAAATCTCTGTCAAGCTTGAAAAAATTGTCGAGGTAAAGAAAAGTGTGCCAAAGTTTTACTGAGTGGGACTTGAGTATTCTCCTCTTCGCACCAGGAAAGGTGGTCAAGTTGCATAAAAAATTTGCGACTTTTCATACTTCCACTTTAATTCACACGATGGGTTTGAATCTTTCTTGCACGTGTTGGCCCACCCCAACACCGGGTTCGTTTCCATCTGGCCCGATGAGCCAATAAATCACGCAGAGTCGAGGAAAGCGGATTCCAACACTTTATTTCTGTGCAGAAGCAAAGAGGCACGCTCGGGACCCAAGTCCAAATCGAGTGCTGCTTCATGAACCCAAAACCATCTTTTATGCAGTTTAAGCAAGGAAGCAGTAAGCTGATTGGTACACATCTTAGACATGTGCACGAACGCATTTTATCCCATAATAGTCCAGGGGGGGGGATATTAGCATATGAGATTTCCACCTCTGCGTTCCACCTCTTTTTAGCATGCTAGTGATAAACTCTGGTTTGTCTCCAGAACTTTGTCCGGACACCAATAACCACATCTGAATGCCACGTCTCCTCTCTTTATTCCAGTCGTGGGCTCGCTTATAATGTTTCTTTAGCACAGTGTTGTCCAAACTTGGCCACTTTAAGATGAGTGGACTTCAACTCCCAGAATTTTATTCCAGTCGTGGGCTCGCTTATAATGTTTCTTTAGCACAGTGTTGTCCAAACTTGGCCACTTTGAGTGGACTTCAACTCCCAGAATTTTATTCCAGTCGTGGGCTCGCTTATAATGTTTCTTTAGCACAGTGTTGTCCAAACTTGGCCACTTTGAGTGGACTTCAACTCCCAGAATTTTATTCCAGTCGTGGGCTCGCTTATAATGTTTCTTTAGCACAGTGTTGTCCAAACTTGGCCACTTTGAGTGGACTTCAACTCCCAGAATTCCCCAGCCAGCATGGCTGGCTGGGGAATTCTGGGAGTTGAAGTCCACTCAAAGTGGCCAAGTTTGGACAACACTGCTTTAGCAAGACGTCCAGGCAGCAACCAGCCAGTTAGTCTGTGTATGGAGTGTTTGTGGTCAGCCTATGAAGCCTTGATGGTCAATTTTTCTAGTCCCTGCTAGTGAGTTAAGGAAGTGCTGATTCTCAACAAGTGGAATAACTCCAGCTGAAGCTAATTCATGGCTCGCAAAAGCCTCTCCTAGTTTGTTTGTAAACTGATTCAGGCGGCCCTTGCACGGATTTCCTTTTTTAATTGATTTAATAAAGCAGACAGCCCAGAGGAGGTTTGTTGCTGATGCAAACTCTCTTTCACCTATCGCAGACAGTAAAAAGACCCCGGAAAATCCACCTGCCCGTTGCCAAACCCAGCCAGCCCAGGAACCAGCCTTCTGGAACTCCTACACCACATTTGACGGATGGGAGAAATGATGACTCGGATGAGGATTATGGGGACCGGGATGATGAGTCAACCCCACTAGGCAGACACCCTGGTCAGAGCCAGCGGCGGACAGAAGCAGACCGTGGTTACGATGGAGACTCGTCCAGCGAGAGAAGTTCGGGACATTACCGTGATGATGACAACGGCACCCATCGGCAGACCCTCAGGAGCCGGCGGCGGAGCCAAGAGGGGGGCCACCGGAAGCGGAACCAAGATAGTGGGTCTGATAGGCCCCCTTTTGCCAATGGGCACAGTCACAAAGGAAGTACCAGCGGGCTTGCCCTGATGTCTGGGTTCAAGAGGCTGCCAAAGCAGGATGTGCCGATGAAACCCGTCCGCTCGGTTTTGGTGAAGCGGAAGGAGAGCGAAGGTGAATGGCTAGCTTTCTAACTTTCTTTTCACCTGTTGCCCTAGTTCTGCTTCTCAGAATTGAACTACTGTCCTCTATTTTTTCCCTACCACTTTTATTGTGGTTCATCTATCCCAGTGTTTTTCAAACTTGGCAACTTTAAGATGGGTGGACTACAACTCCCAGAATTCCCCCCCCAGCTGGCCCGGGTGGGGGATTCTTGGGGTTGTAGTCCACCCATCTTAAAGTTGCCAAGTTTGAAAAACACTGATCTATCCGATCTGCCAAAATTCTTACTGATCTCATAGAGCAAATATTTCTCAGAATGGCCCCCTGTTTGAGCTTCGCTTAAATTAACTTGAAGTAGCCTTAAACAAATTAAATCAGG